TCCACCGAATCAAGCATTCTCTGGAAGACCATCACACAGACTTAACTCTAAGTGGAAACGTGAGTGGCAACAAATCATCTCCTTCAAGATTGACCTCTCCAATTTCCCACTGAGCCTGAACCTAACAGCCTGTCTCCCCTTCGTCTTCCAGTTTCTGGCTGAGCAGAGCTCAGAGGAACTCTGCGCCAAACTCAATATACCCTTCAATAAAACCTGTTGAACTTTTATATTGTGTCTCTCTGTTTGGCTTCATTGCATGTAGGTCTGAGCTTTAGAAAGAATCATGACAGAGCTATTCACATTTTGACAACAATATTCTAGTCTAAGACAGTACTAAAGGCTGCATTTACAGTAGCACCCATTTAAAATTGTCCTTCCCAGTCAGACACCAGCCCAGCAAAGGGCCCATCAAGAAAAGTATTTTTTTCTGTTATGCTCAGTTTTCTATTCCTCTCATCTCACATCACACTCTCCCCTTATCCCTTCTTTCTTTCTCACCTCACTTTCCATCTCCATGTTGATTGATCTCCATGTCCTTTGTACATATAGGATTTTACACTATGCTAACAGTGATAATGCTCTGCTTGTGAAAGCAAAGCTGTTTGGCTATCAGCTTGCTCTCGGGCATATACTCCCAGAACTCTATTGTCAAAACAGAACACACACACACACAAAAAAAATAAGTCTATCAATTGACTTTCCGTCATATTACATAGGATGGGTTAGCCTACTCTGTTTCTAACCATGGGTAGAGGGAGTTGTTTTTAAATAGTTTAGCCTGAAATTTAGACTGTGCAGCCATATACTATAATCTGAAATTGGGAAGTTTCAACACTCCATCTGTAAATTTAAAGGCAAGCTTGTTTAAAGAGACCCTAGTGGATTTGTCTTATCATCCTCTCTAATGACAAAAAAATAAAAAATAACAGGTATTTGAATAGAAAAAAAAGAAGGGTTTTGAATAGGAAGTGACTGAAACATAAACAAAAATGTAAGCAGTAGATTCAATTTAATAGCATTGAACTGGCCTATTATTGTGAGTTGGAGGACCATCAGCTTGTTCAAAATTCTTGTGCTCTCTATAACAAAGTTATCAAATTAAGCTTAAATATTTTCTTATTGCTTCAGTCAACCATGATTTCCAACTATTTGAGGCCTTTAGGCGACCACTTCAAGGCGAATTGTATTGAAAAGTATTATATTTAAAGTCTACTAAAGAAAGTATTTCGCTTTTATCCAAATGTATTTTATAACCAGAGAA